GATCTCAGCATTTGACAAGCGATATGTTCAGAATAGCATGCTATTTTTGTAGTATACTGTATACAGTTTGTGAATATTACACATGCATGGAATACTTGGATGATATGCATTCGCCAAAATGTTTAGCACATGCTCACAGCATACTGCATCCCACAATGCAATGCATTTGATTTGATTTTCTCACTTTTAATTGCATTAAAAATGCAAAATAATGGACGTCAAGTGCATTAAACATATATTACTGTATAAGAGTTAAATATTGTTCTATATAATCATATACTATTAGAGTAAACAGTATGCTAGCAATTCACTCTGAATATAATACACACTTACACTATACTGTTCAAAAGTCTGCGGTCAGTAAGATTAAGTATTGTTTTAGAAATAAGTCTCTTCTGCTCACCAAGACTGCATTTATTTGATCAAAAATACATCAGAAATTGTGAAATATTATTACAATTTAAAATAACTGTTTTCTATGTGAATATCTGTTAAACTGTAATTTATTTCTGTGATGCGCAGCTGAATTTTCAGCATCATTACTCCCGTCTTCAGTGTCACATGATCTTCAGAAATCATTCTAATATGCTGATTTGCTGCTCAAGAAACATTTCTGATTATTATCAATGTTGAAAACAGTTGCTACGTATTTTGATACATTTTCTTCCAGGGTTCTTTGAGAAATAGGAAATTCAAAAGAACAGCATTTATCTGAAATATGTCTTTACTGTCACTTTTGATCAATTTAATAATTAAAGTATTATTTTCTGACCCCAAACTTTTGAACATTCGTAAATGTTCTTGTGTTTAACATTCAACAAATAGACGTTTGACATGATAACATAAATTGATAGAGTGAAAATTATATTTGCAGTATATTAAATATGAAACATTCTTATTGGCTGTGATTTTGTCAAGCATGCAGCATTTACATTTTTTTTTTTACAACAGAACAGAAGCATGACTTAACATTGGAAGCATGTCGTGTCACGTCTGGTTTGGACATGGTGTTAACATGTGGAATCAGAAGGATTCGGTTTACTTTCGTCTTTAAATCAGGCGAGAGATTGCAGAAGTTTCACAATGATTCTGCACAGAAAGGATCCTTCACTGATCCTTCCTTCTCAGCTAGACAAGAACTCAAACCCACATATTCTCCCATGAATGATGAATTTTATAGCCAGTAAATTTGGAGCAGCTGAAGGTCACAAACCTTCATGCTTGATTTGTTTGATTCAAATGTCACAGGAGAAAATCCTCCCACTCTCAACAAGAACGACAGACAGAAAGACAGAATAGTGTCAGAGAAATCAACACAACAGGCCCAGTAAACCTGATCAGACGTTAAATGTGTGTGTCTGAGAGATTATTCTCCACATCCACAGTATTATCCAGTACGAACGAATCAAGCAGGACTGAATGCCTCAGTGGTGAAGCAGATGTAATGGCTGATGTGTGAGGAAAGCTGAAGGAGGCAGAACCAAACATACAGAAAGCTCACTAAGCAGAAGAGAGTAAATCCCTGTGATAGAAACCACTGTAAGAGTCTGAGCTGCTCGTGTGTGTGTGTGTGTGTGTGTGTGTGAGTGTGAGTGTGTGTGAGAGAGAGCGTGCGTGTGTGTGTGAGAGCGAGTGTGTGTGTGTGAGAGCGAGTGTGTGTGTGTGAGAGCGAGTGTGTGTGTGTGAGAGCGAGTGTGTGTGTGTGAGAGCGAGTGTGTGTGTGTGAGAGCGAGTGTGTGTGTGTGAGAGCGAGTGTGTGTGTGTGAGAGCGAGTGTGTGTGTGTGAGAGCGAGTGTGTGTGTGTGAGAGCGAGTGTGTGTGTGTGAGAGCGAGTGTGTGTGTGTGAGAGCGAGTGTGTGTGTGTGAGAGCGAGTGTGTGTGTGTGAGAGCGAGTGTGTGTGTGTGAGAGCGAGTGTGTGTGTGTGAGAGCGAGTGTGTGTGTGTGAGAGCGAGTGTGTGTGTGTGAGAGCGAGTGTGTGTGTGTGAGAGCGAGTGTGTGTGTGTGAGAGCGAGTGTGTGTGTGTGAGAGCGAGTGTGTGTGTGTGAGAGCGAGTGTGTGTGTGTGAGAGCGAGTGTGTGTGTGTGAGAGCGAGTGTGTGTGTGTGAGAGCGAGTGTGTGTGTGTGAGAGCGAGTGTGTGTGTGTGAGAGCGAGTGTGTGTGTGTGAGAGCGAGTGTGTGTGTGTGAGAGCGAGTGTGTGTGTGTGAGAGCGAGTGTGTGTGTGTGAGAGCGAGTGTGTGTGTGTGAGAGCGAGTGTGTGTGTGTGAGAGCGAGTGTGTGTGTGTGAGAGCGAGTGTGTGTGTGTGAGAGCGAGTGTGTGTGTGTGAGAGCGAGTGTGTGTGTGTGAGAGCGAGTGTGTGTGTGTGAGAGAGAGCGTGCGTGTGTGTGTGATGATGAGCCTCTGAAAAATCAAGCCTTTTGCGCCCAAGCATGGTGGGAAAAGCTACAATGATAACGTCAATTTTTATGCTTCCAATCGTTCCTGTTGTGACTCTCCTGCTGCCCGTCTGTCTCTAACTCACAGATTTAGGATCATTAAGTGAGAATTACAGAAGAAAATGAGACAAAGTGCCAAGTGTTGTAGATATAATTTTCTTCTTTAATATTCACCAAATATACTACCTATAAGTCAGATCAGAATCCATATTGTCTTTCAAAGTATAATCATGAAATTGACAAAAATCAACAAAATAAGCTGTAATTGTGAATGGTGACTGTACAATTTAGTCTGCATTTAATTTGTGTACTTCTTAATGAAAAACAGCTATAAAATAAAACTACAAAAATTCCACTTATTTAGCTCATCTATTAGGTAACATTACTATTTTCAAATAATTAATTTATTAATTTATTTATTTATTGCACTTTAATTTTAGTTCATGTTTAAGTAACTTTGTTTTTATTCGTTTTTTTTAAATATGTCTATAGTTTTTATCAATTTTATTTATTAGTTTTAGTTATTTAAAGACTTTAAGTTACACTAAATGAAACCAATGTTAACAAATACAATATTTGATTGTAATAATGTATTAGTAAATATTAAACATAACATTAACTACGATTAATAAATGCTTGTTCATGTGAGTATTAATAAACGCTTGTTCAATAAAGTGTTGCTCATGTTAACTAATATAGTTAACTAATGCTAACAAATGAAACCTTATTGTAAAGTGTTACCTAATTATTTAAGTATTGATTTTGTTTTCTAAGTTGCTTTGGATAAAAGTGTCTGCTAAATGCATAAATGTAAATTATTAATGTAAATGTAATTATTAATTATAATTATCCTTCTAACCTTATTGCCAAATTGTTTTCTTTTTTGTTTCATAAACCTAACCAAATTATGTAAGCTTTGTACATAAACGTATATTTAAAACAATATAAAATATGTAAATATTTTGTCTGAAAAACAAAACAGAAATATTAGGAAAAATATTTTTGAAGCACACAGCCTAATGTGCATCATTTGCTCTTCATTTTCTTGTACTATTGTGCTAAACAAAAAAAAGCTTTCTGTGATTGTAGTATTAAAAAAAAGCAATATGAAACTGTCAAAACATCCAGTCCAAAAATCTCTGAAGGCACATCTCATCGTAATCATGAATTCTGAACTCATAAGTGGGACCTGAGAGCATCATTACATGCAAACCCTGTTCACTCCTGCATCATTGGCGCTTAAGAGCCTTCTTAAAGGGGCTAAAATGCTGATATGGCATTACGGGGATCTCACACACACGTGCAGGCTCATAAAAAACTATACAGCCCATCTTCCATTATGGACTCCATCAAGCCTTTTAAAGATATGCATTAATGTAATTATCTTTCACTGATATACTCATGCTCAGTTTTAGTTCCAAACACTTGTGCGTAGTTATTAAGTCTGATGGTTTCCCATCTGAACACTTCATGTCAAAACGGTTGCTGACCCATGCACTAAAAGAAAGAGAGAGTGGAAACAGTGTGCAAACTAAAAAAGGAAAGCTAGTCAATGCCAGCTCTACACTCTTACAAATCTTTACTGGCATCAATGGTTCTATGAACAACTTTAAACATCCATGGAACCTTTCAAATGCAGAAAAGGTTCTTTATAGTCGAAAAAGGTTCTTTAGATTTTTAAAATGTTCTTCAAAATGGTTCTTTTAGGAACTGTTCACTGAAAGGTTCCTTTGGGAACCAAAAATGGTTCTTCTATGGCATCCCTGCAAAAACACCCTTTTGGAACCTTTATTTTTAAGAGTGTAATGCTGTAAAAGGCTTGAAGTGAGCGAGTGGGTCAAGCTCCAAAATGACAAAAATACCATTAAAATATCATATAAGTGGTTAATATGATTCTATATTCAAAGTCTGATAGATTTTTGCTAATATTTAGAATGAGATTTTATTTTCATATTTTTTCATTAAATAGGTATAGATAGTTTTTATTTATTATTTGTAGTTTATTTGTAGTTATTTTAGTACTTCAAGTTAAACTAAACAAAAATGAGAATTGTTGCTTTGGAAACTACTATAGCTGTACTCAAATCAGTTTATATATATATATATATATATTTCACTTAATGTTTTTTTTCCACATCAAGTAACACAAATATTAAATATTTAATTAAATATGTAGTTTTTATTTTCAGTTTTTTATTTTTAGTTATTTTAGTACTTCAAGTTAAACTAAAACGTGAACTATTTGTTCATGATTCAGACGTTCAGGACAGTTACAGTAGGTTTGATCCTTCATGATTTCCAGCACATAATGAGTTAAATTTGGGTCTGTTCCTCAAACTAATGTACTGTATGACTTCAGAAGAGAAACATGCATGATGTTTGTCATTCCAGAGCTTTTTTTTGTCATTCCAGAGCTTGACAGCCCACTGTTATTATATGTAAAAGAATGATCAGGATTATTAACATAAACATTCACCTTTTGTGTTCCAAGAACCAAAACCAGTAAAAAAAAAATCATTTTTGGCTGATATATTCCTTAAAGTCAAACAATCCGCTCCGTCTTACCTTCCAGAATGACCTCCTTGCCAGTTTTCTTCAGGGCCTGAACAGCCTCGTCATGAGTGGCCTCTCTGAGGTCGTAGCTGTTCACGGACAGAATCGCATCGCCCACGTAAAGAGCCTCCGTCTGGTCCGCCGCCAGTCCTTTGAAGATCTTTGAGATCAGGATGGGCATCTTATTCTCCTTACCACCTGTTAACACAAAATACATTTGCACATGTGGTAAATGGCATTACATTACACACTAAGCTAACTGAAAACACAAAGATGAATGTTTAAAATGACCATCATATGTGACCCTAGACCACAAAACCAGTCATAAGGGTACATTTTTCAAAATTGAGATTTATACATCATCTGAAAGCTGAATAAATAATCTTTCCATTGATATATGGTTTGTTAGGATTGGATACAATCTGGAATCTGAGGGTGCAAAAAAAATCTAAATATTGAGAAAATCATCTTTAAAGTTGTCCAAATGAAGTTCTTAGCAATGCATATTACTAATCAAAAATTAAGTTTGAATATATTTACGGTAGGAAATGTACAAAATATCTTCATGGAACATGATCTTTACTTAATGTCCTAATGATTTTTGGCATAAAAGAAAAATCGATAATTTTGACCCATACAATGTATTTTTGGCTATTGCTACAAATATACCCCAGCGACTTAAGACTGGTTTTGTGCTCCAGGGTCACATATAATGAAAAAAACTATGCGATGTGCAATTTAAAAGATATATTTGAGAAGTTATTTTGTTTGTCGATAAATTTCTGTACCAAGTTTTTATTTTTACACATACTGCCTCTCCTAACGCAGTAAGAAAGCCTCTGCTGACTAACCGGTCTTTTTTTAAATCATGTGATGCAAAGAAGAACAATCTGTGGTGTTGAAATCATGAAGAAGCCTGCAAACACGTAGATAGTACGGCAGTGACGTCACATCCTTCAAAGTTCAGCATTAAAACAGAGGGAACTACTCAAATAGCCTCTTCCTCTAAAACTGTTCTAGCTCTCTGATATACTAGGTTGCATGTCATGCTGCTACTGAGAAATATAGACAAACAAGGTAGGGGTCTCTTTCTTATATTTGTAATACTAGATCAAACTAGTGGCAAAGTGCTCTTAAGACATGGTATGCCAATCTAATTGCACAAAAACAAATATTTCAGTGAGATAATTAAATTATGAGTTAACTTAAAAATGTTTACAATTGATCAAATTGCATTTTACATTTTTACAAAAAAAATACAATTAGCTTACAATATATCCAACTTAATTAGTTTTAATTGCAAATTAAACATAAAACACGACAGGGTTTCTGCAGGTTTAATGAAGTTACATTTAGAACTGTAAGACCTTTTTAAAACCAAGTAAAGAAAATTTAAGGAACATATTGTGTTGTATTATTTCTCAGAAAACAAGACTTCATATCTTCATTATGGATGTCAAGTAAATGTTTTTGATTTAAGGATGTTTAGAAAGTTGTACTGTATTAGAAAACAAGATAAAAAAAAATAACATGCAACATGTAATGCCATGACTTTATGAATTTAATACTTTCTGCTCTGATTAAGACCTTTTTAGGGCCTTAGTTTATGGAAAGGCGAATAAAGACTTTTTAAGACCCGCAGAAACCCTGTATAATTATCAGTTATGGTAACAAATTGGTATTTTTGTTGACTTTCATGCATAATTTTCACACTATCCTGAATCTGTAAGAGCTTTTGCAAATCACAAGACGTTAGACAAGTGGTCATATTAAAATGTTAAAGAATAGTGTGTTTTCAAACAAAAAATGTGTCTTACAGGGGAAGATCGAGGCGCTGTCTGAGACAACCAATCAAGACTGAGAAATAAAGAAGTCTATTCCTATTTTAAGGTCTTGTACACGGCTCATTATCTCCCTTCGAAATCATTGCAGACTTTTTTTTTTCAGATTTCACACTGCAAGTAAAGGGTGAAAACATCAAAATGAGGCAAAGCTCTGCATTTCTCTTTGTTTTGAACTGTTGCGTCCTCACAACCCTGACCGATGGCTTTTCTTTAAGTAACTGCACCATTTATTTCCCCTTTGAATACTCTGGCCATCTGAAGGTGCTGTGCAACAGGATGGGCTACAGGAAAACACCTTCACCGTTACCCCACAACACTGTCAATCTGGATATTTCCTACAATGCCATCCATCAGATCGCTGAATGGGATTTCATCAGACTTTCAAATCTGATCATTTTAAACATATCTCACAACAGGATATATGAAATACACGCCAATGCATTGAGTGACCTAACAAACCTGGAAGAGCTCAACCTGTCCCACAATAAAATCAAAACGGTGACCACAAATCTGCTCAACGGTCTTGCAAATCTGACGTATTTAAGACTCGACTCGAATTATATAGAGACGATTGAAAACCAGTCACTTGCGACACTTTCGAATTTGAGGCTCGTAAACTTTACCAATAACAAGTTAAAGCACATTTTCAAACTCCATCCTCTTCTTCAAGTACCACATCTGGAGGAACTTTACTTGGGAAAGAACGGCTTCAGAGTTTTCAACTCAAGCGACATCCCATCGGCATTCTTTGGTGTGAAAAAGTTGGATCTGTCGATGAATCCCTTAGTGTTCAAGATGGCGGAAAACATCTTTCCTGATCTTGAGTACTTGGACTTGTCAACCTGCTTCCAGACCGATACTTCCGATTGGTTTATTCTAGACAAGGTGTTCCTGAACACAGTTAAGACTCTCAACCTCAGTAGGAATCACACTGAAGAAAACCAGCTAGGTTATATAATGCAGAATTTCCCTTCTGTGACCTGGATGGCACTGGATGGTCTGAAGGGGTTCAAGGTGGAGAAGCTTTTACAGAAGGCGTGTTCTCCTAGTCTGAGGGGTCTCCACTTGGAGGACAACCAACTTTCTGTACTTACCGATCGCATGTTTAGACCGTGTGCACTTTTGAATGAGTTGCACCTAAGAAACAACAGAGTATCGAGAATCTATAAGTCGTCATTCGATCATCTAGTCAACTTGACAGAGTTACGAATACAAAAGAACCTTCTGACGCAACTGAACGACACTCTTCAGGTTCTCCCCAAATTACGGGTCCTCGATCTTCATCTCAACAGCATTGAAAATCTTGACTGCTCTGATTTTGCGAATCTGACGCAGTTAAGGCAACTCTATTTGCACAAGAACCAAATTGTGACAATCAAGGCATGTGTATTTAAGGATTTAGGAAATCTCAAAGAGCTCATTTTGAGCAGCAATCGTATGTTAACGGTCAGTGGCACCTTTACATATGGCCCCCAAAACTTACAATACCTGGATTTGAATAACAATAAGTTGAGTGCCATCCAAAGTCACTCTTTTAAAGCTTTGGATTCCCTTCGGACCTTGCATGTCGCAGATAGCCAAATATTAAATATCTATCCATATGCTTTTGCAGGACTGATAAATTTAACAGACTTGCATCTTGCATCTAACAAAATCACAGAAAGAACTCTAGAAAACCATGCTGTGTTCGATGGTACGCCTAACCTACAGAGTATAGATCTGAGTTGCAATTACATCTCATACGAGAGTCAAGAGGAGCTACAAAGTCCACCATTCATGCTGTTAACTGAACTGAGAGTTTTGAAGATTAACAGTCAACGTCGAGGCTTAAACTACATCCCTTCGAACTTCCTGAAAGGTCTCAAAAACTTGCAAGTCTTTTATGCTGGGAACCTTAATGTCAAGAATTTACATGTGGACACATTTAGTTGCACTCCCAAGCTTACTTACTTGGATTTGACAAGTAATAATCTTGCGAACAGGAATGC